GGGCCAGCCCAGTATTACACCACTGAGCTACGCTGGTGCCTGTCACTGGTTGGCAAACTTGCCTTAGGAAGGCTTAATATCGGGAAAGCAATCGCGTTAATACGAATTATAAAGCATTTAAAAGCAGCGAAACAACAACCAGTTGTCACACAATGCGAATAGCGTAACGAGTGGGCCGTCCAATGCTCCAACCCATTACAAAAGCTTGTTCATGTCTCCATATTAACTGTGGCCCGTACCCACTTCAGCCATAATTTCTCATCATCTTCAGCCACTGCATGAACAATTGGCAAGAAATGCCTTGCAAATACTTAGCAGATACCACGCTTCACAGAAGAATTACAAAACAATAGCACAGCGAATGCTGGCCTACTACCCTTCCCCCCCCCAAAAAATTCATTATTAATGCCCTAGTGGGTATCAAGCAAGTGTGCTTGCAGTAGTTACCCAATGAGTGTTTTGAAAAGGCTCTGAAAAGCCGCTCTTCTAGCTTTCGCTATTCGCTATGACTGTGCTGCGCCTTTTGTGCAGGCCTGGCGTATTTTTAGCTTCAAGTAAACGCGCCAATCTTGAATCCATCGTCAGAAGTTCCAGCCGCGTTTCAATCTCATTCGTAGACCTTTCTACTGCCCGTTACAACAGAGAGAGAAGCCCTGCAAAATCATCGTCATCTGAGGCATCATCCCTCCTAATGGGCCTGAAAAGATCGCAGTCCACATATCTGTGCTTGAAAGTTGGCGGTGGCCGTATCACAATAATCGTCTCCAGAATGTAGTGATCATTGCCTAAGTCCTCCTGCATGTTACTTCACTCCCCGTCCGTATCCCTAAGGAATACCATATCAGGAGTGGTATCTCTCTTAACAAAATTTACCCTTCTGGTCGGAAACATAAGATCCGTGATCAGCGTCAACCTAAACTCTGAGGCCCGATTTGCTTAACGCGTACCCTTAACATTACTGTGGGCATGTCCTGATTTTATATTGGGAGCGTTACAATTTCCTGCAACAACCAAGGTCTTACCCCCGACTTCCGAAGTCGCGAAGTCTCTCTGAATGTCTGACGGGGAGCTATATACATTTAGAAGAAAAATAAAGGCGCGACATTTGCAACCAGGAATAATCTCCATGAATGGGGCTTCAAGTCCAGATTTGTACTGAGGTATATCATGCGCGAAGAAAGACAACCCCTTCGCAAACAGGATTGCTATTTCGTACCATGTCTCCACACCGGGTGACACCCGGGAAAGGTCGAATCCTCCCCCATAAACGTTTCGTGTGAGATAATGATCTCAGGCTTATTTTCTGCAAATAAGACCAGCTGCAAAAGTACAGCCCTACGCTTGCTGAAACTAGCATCGTTCCACTGCCAGATTCTAAATCTTGAAGTGTCCCTGCCATGTTTACGGACCACACGCCACCATATCATCAGCCGCGCTAGCCTCCCTGCTAAGACCGAGACTCCGTAACTGCGAATCGGGTACCAGCTCATATCAACCCTTAGTAAGAGCCTTTGGACGCTCCAAAACCAAGATCCTACTCTACAAAGAGGACAGAGCATCCATCATACGATCTAACATTGTATCCATCTCGCCAACCTATCATTTACACCACCCGTCACAGAGGACGGGGTAGCTTCTGACTCTGCTACCGCGACCACAGCCGTACTTCACGATTGCTTCTCTGCAAGAGCCGGGGCTTTGCGCTTGGCTTTACCCCAAAGGAGACCATATTCCTTACGATCGGCCTGTGCCCTCTCCTTGAACAGCTCAAAAGCCGCCTTGTATTCCACCAAGACACTGCTTAACTGCTTATTCACGGCCTCGAAAGCTTGCATATGGGGATTTACATCACGCTCTCACCTGACTCTCACCGGTGAGTGGCCTCTCCGTTCAGGAGGCCCAGGCTTCGGCTGATTCTTGACGTTATCTGCCCACGTTGTATGCTTCTTAGGTTTCCTGCGATTCCTGCTGCAAAACTACGCCGACGCCTGACGCACCTGCCCGAGTCGCTAACCAAGAGCGTTTCCTGGACCTAGAGTGCGAGCAGCCACTTGACCGAGACCAAGAGCGAGAGCGAAGGATGGAAGCCTTCCCCGCAGCTACAGTGTCAGTTTATTATTTACCACCCTCAACCCCACCGGCGTTGCCCGAGCCGCCTTTTACTGTTTTGTTGCGCGCTGTCGATGACGCCGCCTCTGGCGCTGCACCACATACGACAGCGCAAAGTGCTCCTTGCATTTTTTTGCAGCCCGTAAGATGTGGGCCACCGCACAACCCAAACTTTGGCTGACACACATGATGCTTAACTTCATCTGGCGGGCCCCACACCACGGGAACTCCACATCCACGACAATTTGCTTTTTCTCCTTCACACTGCTAAGGCAGACGTCAGTCCGATGATGAACTTGACCACAGGCATAGCAAACGTCCACTTGGTGACGATAAAGGTAGCAAGGCACAACCGCCGTTTCGCACACGTTCGTGTTAGGCACCTTCATGC